GGGTATCTCCACATCAATGAGCTTTCTCCTCCCAGGGATGCTAAACAAATACAGGAACCCAGATTTGCACCTCTGGCTCCTGCCCCTGCAGTCTCTAGCTGACACTCCTCACCCACCTTTTCTTATATGGAGCTGACTTTCCTCAAGGAGGGTCTCTTCTGTTACGGTTGGTATCTGTCTTTGATATGCAGTACATATACAATCGATATGCAGTAGAAGATTTTGGGTCCAGTGCCTCTCTGGACTATCGTAGGCTATCGTCCTGGGAGTGAAGTAGGTAACCTCCAAAGTCATCTCCCTCTGGCCCTATTTCTTTTCCGTGTTCTTTAGCATACAGACCCATGTAAGTATTATTGTCCTTTTCCAAACCATGTTCTTTTCTAACATGCTTGTCCTAATGTACCGTACTTCTCTGTACATAGTATTTGTTTATAGATAAGGAAAAATTTCCCTACTAGTTTATACTTGAAAGTCTGACTTTCTTGATGTGACCCAAGCGGGCAATGGAAAAAATCCACATTTTTTCATATCAATGTGAAAGCTACACTCTTTTCATTTATGGAATCCATTTAGAATGCCTGATTTTGCATCTCTTGTCTCCATTTTTAATGAATTAGTATTTCATAAACAGTCAAGGAAAAAAAGATTTTCATTCTCATTAGTCATTATGACTTTATTGTACTCCACATTCTGCACTGTAAAATTTGACCTTTGGATTTGTGACCCAATTTGCAGGAGCAGTATTGAGGGTTCATAAACATTAAATTGTCGAACATGCTTCAATCCAGCATTGTAGACAGCATCATGCGGTAAATTTTTTTTAAATGATGGAGATTAAGTCAGATCCATCTCAGCATGAATTTTGATTATATTCCTTTCTCACTGTAATATTAATAATAGTAATTATATGTACAGTGGTAATAATAGTAATTATAAAATTACCATTTATTGGGTATCTCCTAAATGCCAAGAGCTATGCTTAGTTCTTAATTTTCTTAGTTGTTTAATCCAAACAAAACCCCACTAGGTATAAATTATCATGCCTTTACTTTAAAAGAAATTATCACATCAGCAACTTAGTACCTTTTATTTGATCATATAGCTAGTAATTATGTAAGTTTAAATGACCTCAGTTTTAAAATGATGAGCATAATATAGGCTTATTATAGGACATTTTTAAACAATACATAATTTTATTACATAGTCTATAATTGAACAGAAAATTTATTTAACTTTATGTACTTCACCTTACTCAGAATTACAGCTTCTTGATCTTTGGAACATGGAAAACTTTTCATTTACATTGGGACTGAATTGCTCTTAAAGTGGTGAATACAAGCTGCCCCCTGCTAAAATTCCAGCAAGGTCTAGTAATCTTAGCATTCTTTCTTCATATTGCTTTTGAATTCCTCTCTTCTCTCTTGGGTTTTTATAAATAAAACATAGAGATTAGTTACAAAGACTTTTTAGCTCAGGTCATAAAAGTCATCAAGACAGCCTTCTCAAAATTATTATATTAGGAAGAGAAATATACACACACGTACACTCAAAAGATTGGGGAGACTACTGAAATCTTTCCCTTATGGCATAATCTAGGAAGGGGAACACGGCTATTGTAGAAGAGTGACAGAATCTATTAGGACTATATCTCCTTTGAAATAAAACCTTAATAAACAGCAAAAAAAGGGCACAAAAACTGTTATCCTTTAGGCACTGGTGAAAATATATCACAGTGGTCATAAGGGAACAAAAGGCAGGAGAAGCAACGCAAAAGCAGGCCTGAAGAGGTGTGGACCTGTAGCTCTGAGTCATATGCAATGTTGTAAACCAATGTTATTTCCATTAAAAAATAAAATATTTTGAAGAGAAAATAAAAATGTTATCAGAAACAACAAAATTAATAAGGCAAATAAAGAAAGCCCTAAGATGGGCACATGTTAATTCTATAAAACTCATTCCCTACTTTTGATAAATTTTGACTGCTTAAAAAAAGAGAAAAACTCCTATGGTGAGGAGGAGCAACATTTAAAATGAGAATATTTTAGGTTAAGAAAATAATCTTTTTTTAGCTTTATTGAAATATAATCGACAAAAAAAGCTCTGTTTTTTTAAGTGTAAAATGTGAGGATTTGTATACATTTTGAAAATATTCCATCATTTCTCATGTCTAAGATTTTGATGGTTTTGTTTATTTACTTACTTTGTGAGGACACTTAAGTTCTACTCTTGTAGCAAATTTCAATTATTCAATCAACACCTATATTTACCAGTATAGTAACCACATTGTACATTAAATCCTATTCATCTTACAAGAGAAAGTATGTACCCTTTACCAATATCCCCTTAGCCCTCAATATATAGAAATCACTTTTCTATTCTGTTTTTATGAATTTTACTTTAAAAATAGATACATGTAATTTATACCATGAGGTCTTTGTCTTTCTCTGTCTGATTTAAATCACTCAGCATAATGCGCTTCAGGTTAATCAGTGTTTTTGCAAATAACTTTAAAACTGAATATGTTGTCTTGATCAATATATTGATTAACAGACAGATTATTTTCCTATGTTGTCTATTGTGAATAGTGTTTCATTAAAGTGGAAGTACAGCTATTTCTACATTGGTGATCTTAGCAATGATTTTTTTTTTTTGATACCGAAAAAGGCAACAAATACAATAATAATGAGTAGTATTGCATCATATTAAAAAAATTTCTGTACAACAAACTATATCATCACCAAAGAGGAAAAAAAAACCCTATAGAATAGGAGAAAATATATACTTATAAACCACATATTAAAAAAAAACTCAGTAGTTACAAACCACATTTTCAAAATATACAAAGAACTCATACAACTCAATAGGAAAAACATAAATAATGTCCCTTGTTAAAAATGGGCAAAAAATCTGCATAGGTATTTTTCCAAAGACATATAAATGGCCAATAGGTACAAGAAAAAGTTCAACGTCACTAATCATCTGGAAGTTACAAATTAAAACCATACCTGTTAGGATGTCTATTTTGAAAAAAATGATGAGATAGCAAATGCTCGTGAGGATATAGAGAAAAGGGAATCCTGGCATACTGTCTGGTGGGAATATGAATTGGCACAGTCACTATGGCTAATACTATGAAGATGGCTCAAGAAATTTTTTAAAATCTGAATATACGCACACAAAAATATCTGAATATACATTTAATTTTTACTTATTTTTTTATTTGAGCTAGGTTTGCTTTTTGATAAGAAAATTATAACCTACAATTTCTATTACTTATACTTATTAATGGGATTTATCACTAATTTTCAATGTTCTTTAAATTAACTACTTTATATAAATGAGTAAGAAGAGAAAAAAATTAAGAAAATACTTCCATTTATAATTGCATCAAAACAAATTAAATACTTAGAAACTAATCAAGAAGATGAAATATTTATGCAAGGAAAATTATAAGACACATTAAAATATATAGAACAAGACAAAAGAAATGAAAAGATACTCCATGATCATGGATGAGGAAAAGTAGCATAGTCATAGTGATTATATCACCAAAAGCCAAGCATAGATTTAATGCAATTCCCGTTAAAATTCCAATGATATTCTCCCAGAGAATAGAAGGAGAAAAAACTTAAAATTTATATGGAAGCATAAAACATCTTAAATAGCTAAGGCAATTCTGAGAAAAAAATAGGAAAAATGGAAGCATAGTACTACTTGATTTTAAACTGCATTGTAAAGCAACAGCTATTGAAAAATATGGTATTGGAATAAGAAATGGACACATGGATAAGCAGAACAAAATCAGAAGTCCAGAAATAGATCCATGCACATATCAATACCTAATCATGACAAGGAGGCACAATCACACAATGGAGAAAGGAGACTTTTTAAAAATGGTGCTGGGAAAACTGGAGGGGCACATGTATAAGAATGAAGTTGAATCACTCTTCTGCTCCATAGGCAAAAGCAAATTTAAAATGGATTAAGACTTAGATATAAGACAAGCAACAACAAAATAGAAGAAAACTTTGGTGATATATTCCATGATGTCTATGATAGAGACATCTTTGAGAATTAGTCCTTAGACCCCTGTGGCAAGGGAAATAAAAGCAAAAATAAATGATTGGTACTAACTGAAATGAAAAACCTACACAGCAAAGAAAATATTATCATATTAAAAACAGATCTGACTAAATGGGAGAAGATATTCATTCATCACACATGAAAAGCCAAGGCATGCAAACGAATATGCAAATATTCATAAGGACAAAAAAATCCCAAACAACTTAGCTAATACGAGGAGTAGGTAGTATGAATAGCTAAATTTCAAAAGCAGTTATATAAAACCAAAAAAAAAAATACATGGAAAATTGCTTGTCATCACTTCTAGCAAGGAACATGTAAATTGAAATCACATGAGATCATTTCACTCCCACGAGAATGGCATACATCAAACAGATTAACAAATTGGTGGAGAGAATGTGGAGAAAGAGGACCCTCCATCCATAGCTGGTGGGAATGTAAATTGGTGAAATCATTTTGAAAAATGTCCTGGACTTAGATTAAAATACTAGAAATGGAAATATCATACATTAAAGTGATTCTACTTCTGAGTATCAGTGCAAAGAACATGAAATTTTCAGCTCAAAAATTTATGTGTTCCACAGTGCTTATTCAGATGCAAATTACAGAAGACCTATATTAACACAATTTAAAATAAGGGGATTTATTGTACTACTGTATAATGAAAAGTCAATTCCACAATGACTGATGTGGACATGTGTAATGTCACCGATTCCGATTCAGGATCTGTACTGCAAAGTTTAACACATCAAAGCAATTGGCTTTAACTTATGTTTGACAGAACAGTTTGCACTAAATTAATTCTGCTTAATAGCCTTGTTTTCAAGGTTTGATGTTTCTTTCTAACAGCCAACAATGCATTTTTTTTTTTTCCTGTTTAAAGAAAAATGAAGAGAAAGAAACCTGCTAAACTGGTATATATGATACAGTTAATCATGGAACTTTCCGCCTGTTTTTTCTTCCTGATTGCTCCACCTCTGGTAAAGATTTGCAAAGTGATGATCTAGTCTAACCTTTCTCTTGGAGGAAAAAGTTAAGTAACAATTTTATTTTATTTTATTTTATTTTTCGAGATTTATTTATTTATTTATACAAGCACTGGGTACAGTCAGAAGCGTGGGCGGGTGAGTGAATTCACCAGAGCCAGAGCAGGGAACAGAACAGGCAGATGGACTGAAATACACTGCTGAGGGGAGCAGCGGGCGTGGCAGGAGAGGTCTGCGTGCCATGTGGGGCCCTTGCCAGCGGCCGGGGGATCGAACTGGTGCTGCAGAACTGTGGGCAGCTTTGCAGCCCAGCACTCAACTGTTGCACCACCAGGGGAGGCTCATAAGCAACAATTTTATAAGAATTTCCTAAGCAAAGTGAAAATTAATGAGCGTTAAAAATTAATGAAAGTGACAAATCATTTTGTAAAATGAGCTTAAGCTAAAGCTAGACTCAGGAAATATCTGTAGCTTTAAATATTTTTAATTAAAAAGAAACCAAACTAGTGAATGAGCTATCTTTCAAGAAACTAGTAAAATAAACTCCCCAAAAAGGCAAAAAAAAAAAATAAAAACCTTGAAGGGAACAAAAAATAAATTACTTGGAGCATACTTTGAAAGATGCTGTTGAACAAGGCAAAAGAAAAAAGAAAGGGTAAGGAAGAAAGGTGAGGAAGAAAGGAAAAGAAAGAAGAAAAAAATGTGATAAATAAGCTAGCATTTTTTTCCTGGGGTCTTAAACTGCCACTTATTTCCATCTATTGTTTTCTTCCTACTGTCAAATAATAATACAAAGACTATACATTTGTTTGTTGTTGTCTTTTTAATGTTGAGTTAACTTGTCAGGCAGAGTACACATACCAGATAAGAAAATCATTGAGGCTTCTGCTGAGAATGAAAGCAGACACTTTTATTTATTTTATTTTTTAATTTATATTTTACATCATTGTGTATTCCCCGTAAAATTCCCACCAATTCACCTGCAAACCATCACCATAATCCCTTGTGTTCTTCTTTCCCTGTTCCTCCCCCTCTCTCAAAGAATGTCTCTGATTTATGGTTGCCTGGTAGTTTGTTTTATTATTATTTTTTTCCAGATCTCTTATTTGATTCCCCTATATACCTCCTATAAGTGAAACCATTCAATATTTTTCTTTTTCCTTCTGGCTTATTTCACTGAGCATGATTCCTTCTAGTTCCATTCATGTTGTTCCCAATGGCATGAGTTTATCTTTCTTGATTGCTCAATAGTATTCCACTGTATATGTAAGTATACGTCTTCTTGATGCAGTCATCTATTTTGGGGCATTTGGCTTGTTTCCATATCACTTTTAAACACAAGAAAGTGAAGGTGCACAGTCCACAAAGGTTGTGCTATTTCAGAACTGAAACCCAGCTTTCCAAAACCCAGCTTTCCACATAGTGTAAATGAACCCAAATGTCTCTCGACAATTGATCAAAAACAAGCTCCATTGATCACTAGTGAGGACACATCTTCAGTTAGATTCAATTCAGAATTAACAGGGTCTCTTAAAGTCCATGGTTTTCTGAAAGCATTGTGTCAAAAGTGTTGTACTGAAACTCAGCATGAAGTTTTGTTTCTCTTCTGGGCAAATGCTGCTATTAGTTGAAGTTTTGTCTTTTATACCACTCACCCTCTGCAGGAATTTCTTTGACAATCCAGGAAACAACAGTTATCCAATTCTTCATCTTGCTTTTCTAAAAAATAGAATCTTCAAAAAAAATCTTTCATTCAAGTCAGAAAAATCAGCTTAAAGATACATACATCTAGACATTTTCGTCTCTCATAGAATTCAGTGGAGTTATTTAACAACCGTCATCAAGGTTATATATTAACCAAGACAGAATATCAAAGAAAAAGAAGTTATAAATTAACCTGAGAAATACACCTTAAAATGGGGCTTACAAAGTCTACCTCAAAGTCCTTTATTTTACAAAGTCCTTTCTCCTTTCTCTTTCTCCAGTCTACTGAACAACGGGCCTTTTTTTTTTATTTTATGTAATTCTTACATAATTTTTTTTTTTTTGCACAATGTATGCATTTTCATTTTGGTTATATTCCCCATACAATTCCCACCCCTCTTATTCTGACTCTAATCACTTCTCCCCCCACCCCCCACCATAGTGTGTCTCTGGTCTATAGTTGCTTGTTGATTTTGATTTTTACTTTATTGCAATTAGTCTTTTTCCTGGTCCCTATTGCAATTAGTTTTTTTCCTGGTCCCTTATTTAGGTTTTCTAAATTCCTACTATGAGTGAGACCATCCGGTATTTTTCTTTTTTTTCTGGCTTATTTCACTGAGCATGATCCCTTCCAGCTCAATCCATGTTGCTGCAAATTGCATGTGTTTATCTTTTTTGAATGATGAGTAATATTCCATGGTGTATATGTACCACATCTTCTTGATCCAGTCATCTATTTTTGGGGTTTGGGTTGTTTCCACAGCTTAGCTATTGTAAACAGTGCTGCTATAAACATAGGGGTGCAGGTGCCCTTTTGAATTAATGACTGTGTCCTTTGGATAAATACCTAGGAGTGGAATTGCTGGAGCATATGGAAGCTCTATCTTTAATAGGTTGAGGAATCTCCACACAGCTTTCCATAGTGGTTGGACCAGTTTGCACTCCCACCAACAGTGTAGGAGAGTTCCTTTTTCTCCACAACCTCGCCAACATTTGTTGTTGCTAGTTTTTTTAATATGTGCCATTTTCACTGGTGTAAGATGGTATCTCATGGTAGTTTTGATTTGCATTTTCCTGATTACAAGTGATGTTGAACATTTTTTCATATGCCTGTTGGCCATTTGCATTTTCTCTTTGGAGAAGTTTCTTTTTAGCTCTTCTGCCCATTTTTTGACTGGATTATTTTCTTTGTTGTTGTTGAGTCTCATCAGCTCTTTGCAGATTTTTGTGATCAGTCCTTTATCATTAGTGTTGTGCGCAAAAATGTTCTCCCAGTTGGTGGGGTTTCTCTTTGTTTTGGTTATTGTCTCTTTTGCTGTGCAGAAGCTCTTTAATTTGATGTAGTCCCAGTTGTTTATCTTTGCCTTCACTATCACTACTTTGGGTGATGTGTCTGTAAAGATATTTTTGAGGTGCATGTCATATAGTGTTTCGCCTATGAACAACGGACTTTTTAAAGTCTTAATAAATTTAGTTACCTTTGCAAAGATTTCCATTATTCACTCCAAACACTCCATTTGCTACTTAGTGATTAAGATATTTGATTTGCATGTAATTATTTGGCTTTATTAAAGATATAATAAAGCTGAAGGTATATCATTGAAAATATATCAAATTTTTTTAAGTTTTTTATTTAAAGATTTATTTTATTTATACAAAAGCTGGGGTACAGGCCAGATGTGCGCTAGGGTGAGAAGATTCACCAGAGACAGAGCAGGGAACAGAGCAGGCAGACTGATGAAACACACTGCTGAGGGGTGCAGCAGGCGAGACAGGAGAGGTCTGCTCACCATGTGGGTTGCTCTGAGGCGCGGGGGGGGGGGGGGGGGGGGTGGGGGGGGGATCAAACCGGCACAGCAAAGGCTGCGGATAGTTTCACAGTGCTGTGCCCAACTGCTTGCACCACAAGGGAGGCCCAGAAATATATCAAATTTTTCTGTGGATTTCTTTATCTTTTTTTAGGAGAAAATGTGTATTTATTGTATCCTCCAAAATTTTTGAGAATATCATACTTTCTTCAAATTGATATTCCACAAATATTTGTCCAGTGACTATCTGATGATGTAGTAATGAAGACAAATGTCACATAACTTGAGAGAATGTGAAAATTCATTTACACAATAACATGGGTATTGAGTTATTATCAGCAGTGCCATTCCTTGATTCCTGCACATGACAAACTGGTTTGATATTGAGGAAACTGGCTGGGAATTTAGATTATGATTCTGTGGGATGCTTGCCTAATTTCTATTTAGTCAGGTGTTGATATAAATTGTATTGAACTGCAAATTATTATACTGTTTTGCCAAAGAAACTGAAGAGTTATAAAATTGAAAACATCTTTTTACCTTCTGTATTGGAAATCCTCATAGCATATTACAGCTACATATCCATCCCAGATAATGTCGGGGAACCATGGAAAATAATGCTCTTTTAAAAACAACAACATATTTGTTAAGAATGGGTGTCTTGGTGGTGGGGACAGTATGACAACAACTGAAAGGGGAGGCTTTATACTTTTAAAGCACAAACAGTGAGGTAAACCAATGTTACCTCAATAAAAAAAAAAAAATCTTAAAAGAAATTTTAAAAAGAGGGGCTTCCCTGGTGGCTCAGGGGTTAAAGATAGTGCTATCAACCTCTTGCCAGCCACTGCAGCAAGAGTAATCCCAGACCAGGCAGGAAGCTGAACCACATGGCACAGCAGTCCTCTTCTGTCTTACCTGCTGCTCCCCTCAGCAGTATTTCAGTAGATCTGCCTGTTCTGTTCCCTGATCTGCCTCTGGTGAATCCTCTCACCCCGCCCCACACCGCTGGCTTACACCCCAGTTCTTGTATGCATAAATAAAGAAATCTTTAAAAAAAAAGAAATTTTAAAAAGAGAAAATACTTAATAAGCAAGGGAGACAGGCCTTCTAAGAAGGTTTCTAGTTTATTTTGAGTTCTCCATATCCTTTTTTTTTCTATTGTCAAATTCTACTGGCTTCTTATTTTGCCTCTGAGTAATCTCAACATAGATCACTGAACAATGAACAAGGAGGCATTCAGATTATAATTTGAAAATGATTGATTCTAATGTCAATAAAGTTAAAAAAAGACATTGCTTTTGTTTTATTTCTTCTTATGTGTAATTTTTAAATTTCATACAAAATTCACAAGTCATATGTTTGAGCTTTTCTGTAGTTTACTATGATATTAAGCATTAATATTGGATCTGCAGTATATGCAATAAGCATATTTTGTTATTAAAACATACCGTAGATTTACTGAGTAGAATGCTTAATAAAAATTGAGTGGCAATGATAGAGAGCCTTTCTACTATCTTTATAATTGTTAGGGGGAAAGGATGTCCTAAAGCTAATTCCATACAGGCTTTGTGGACTCCACCCCCACCCCAGGCCAAAGCCAAAGACACTGGGAACTCCAAATCCCATCACCACAAAGGGAAGGTATCTGGGACCTGATGGTGGGGTTAAGCAGCCAGGTTGATATAAAGGCAGACACGTGGGCTTTGGGGGTTCCCCCATTTTGGCTCTCCGCCAGCTTGCAGCTCGGGCCAGCTCTGAGAGTGCCTTTGGGTTTCCAGGTCGGCGGATCCGGTAGGATGCATTAAAGACTTTATTTCCCTATTTTCTCCCTGAGTTGTACATTTTCCTTTTCCCTTGTAAATAAACCTTTTATTAACCTTTTGTGTGTGCCTGTAGTAGAGTATTAATAAGTCCCTTTTAAGCACTCGGGTGAGGACCCACAGCCAGGAACCCGTTCAAAATCGGGGCTGCTCTATAACATTATAACTACTTCATTGGTAACCTGAACAAATTTTTTTCCTCTAACCTCTTACTACAATATATAACCTCTATCTCCCATATATATGATATAATATATAGCATAAATAATATACATTATTATACATGTACTATATATATGCTATATATATATACTATAATATGCAACAATGTTGTAGTATACAGCATTATTTTTTTGCAAAGAAGAACTGGGGTATAGGCCAGAGACAGAGCGGGGAGCGTAACAGGCAGATTTATTGAAATATACTGCTAAGGGGAGCAGCAGGGGAGACAGGAGTGGTCTTCTGTACCATATATGGATTAACTCGCTGGCCAAGGATAGAACTCAAGTCCTAGCAGTGGTACCGCTGAGACTTAACCCCTAGGCCACTAGGGAGGCCCTACAGTAATTTAATAATAATTAAAATTAATTGCACATTATGTGGCCAAAATTAAAACAAGATTTCAATCCCCATGAACATACTCAGAATTAGAAAACTCAGAGCGATTCATCATGAACCCAAATCCTGGAGTTTTTCTGTATATTTAATGACTTACCTGCATGTAAAGGAATATTTATCCAAGTGGAAGAATGTCTGTGACTTCCAAACTTTCCATTGTGATAAAGATCCTAAAATTGCTTAAGGAAATAGTTTTGGAACTGAAATGGCAAACAAAATCTTATCATTAATTATGTTTTCACGAGCAAATCAAGTTTCTTATCAAGAGCTTGGGAAAATATTCTAGTTTGGATATATTTGATTCTTGCCAAGTTCATCTGAGCTTTCCACTAATATATTCCTTTCCAAAAATCCTGGAATCCACTCACAAACTTGGAATATTAGATTTTAGTATCACTGGCACTATGGACACTGAATAATTCAAATTGAATAGAAATGCAAGAAATTTTGTGTACTTGATCTCATTAAAAGAACCTGACCAAAATGTATAAATTATGAATTATATTGTTATTAAATATTGGGAGACAGAGGACCAGAAAAACCTATCTTTATTGCTTAAAAAAGCATTATACTTGCTAAACAAGAATTAAACCAATTGTAAATCAATGTAGCATATCATCGTAGCCATTCAAATATGGCAGTTTCTTGACATCACACTCTAGCATTTCTCACTGGAAGTACTAGCCATTGTTGCAAGGATTGGTAAGGTGCCAGTTTGTGAATTTCCTATGCAACTCTAAAACTATTTATCAGAGAGCCCTTGTACATGACTTTCAGGCTCCCTCCGGAAACAGAAGTTTCTCTCCCACAGATAGCCCTTTAACCTGAGTCATACAGCTGCTATTACTAAGTCTGGGAATGTTTGCAAAAGGCTAAGAAAGTATCATATGTTTTTAACATTTATAACTGCCAGTTCTGTTGTGATTTTTGTAGGTGCACTGGTGAGCTCATGGTATGGGCTGGCATATGCTCCATTATGGATGCAAAATTATAGTCTAGCCCCTCATCTGTGCACTGTGCCATCTAAGATATGTATATCAAAGTGGACATCAGTATTGGCTACATAATTTGTGGGGCCCAATTCAAAATAAAAATGAGGGACTCCCCTTCAAAAGTTCAGTTAAAAATAGTACAAGTTTATTTTCCTTTAAAAGCATTTTATTACTGATGAAATATAATAGAAGCAATAGTTACACATGAATAACAACATAATGTAACAAATTGCAAAAATACATGCTGATACAGCTTTATATAATGCAATATATAGCAATCTATTAATATGATGCTTTGATCATAAAAATGTTTATGAATTTTTTTCTGACTTGCTTTTCTGTATATTAATTGATTAGGTCATCAAAATCCATACATTTAGCATTTCCATTTTCAGTTCATATAATAGAAAGTGAAATCAGTTGCTCTTGGCAAACACAGGATCACAATTAATTTTTAATGATCATTAATTTTGTGAAGGATAATTCTGTGGATGCTTCTGCTATATATTGTGATGGTGTTGTGATATATAGTAATATAATAATCTGATATAATAATCTGATATATAATAATATATAATAATATATATAATAATATATAATAATCTGATCAATTATTCCAAAAGATGAATTTCAGTACATCTAGAGCTGGCTATTCTTGTGCAACAATTTTTCTAAAAGTATTTTGATTCTTCATACAAATCAGTTACATGTAAGCTGAATTCAATTTTTTTTTTTAAAGATTTATTTATTTATTTATACAAGCACTGGGTACAGTCAGAAGCCGGGAGGGTGAGAGAATTCACCAGAGCCAGAGCAGGGAACAGAACAGGCAGGCTGACAAAGTACACTGCTGAGGGGAGCAGCTGGCGGCAGGAGAGGTCTGCGCGCCATGTGGGACCCTCACCGGTGGCCGGGGATGGAACCGGCGCTGCAGAGGCTGCAGGGCAGCTTTGCAGCCCAGCGCTCAACCGCTGTGCCACTGGGGAGGCCCTGAATTAAATTTTAAATGTACATTTATACAAAGGAATTTTAATGTTTTCTCTGACATATTGAACTTGCGGAGGTTGTACAAAAAACTGCATTTATGCATTCTATAACTTTTATCTTCAATTAAAAGAAAAATTAATTTTTTAATTGGAAAACTATATGGAGGGTCCTCAAAACACTAAATATGGATCTACTATATGACCCGGCAATTCTACTGCTAAGAATCTACCCAAAGAACACAAAAATAGTATTTTAAAAGGAAACCTGCACCCTTATGTTTATTGCAGCACTATTTACAATAGCCAAGATTTGGAAACAACCCAAATGCTCCAAAATAGATAGCTAGAGCCAAAATTTGTGGAATGGAATATTATTCATTGATCAAAAAAGATAAGCTCATGACATTTGTGGCAACATGGTTAAAGCTGGATGGGATTATGCTGAATGAAATAAGTCAGAAGGAAAAAGATAAATATTGGATGGTTTCACTTATATGTGGAATATAGAAAATTCAAACAAAAGGTCAAAAAAAAAGACAAAACCAAAACTTGCCAGCCGATGTTAGATCTGAGGCATACAGCAAGGGAGGGGTCAATACAGGGAAGGGACGAGCACAAGGGACCATGGCAATGGATCACAGTGCTGTGGTGATGGAGAACTAGGGGACTACACGTGAGGGGAAAAATCAAATACGTACAAAAATGAACAATGTAAGAAAATAAACAAATAAATTTAGAAAAAAGAGTTTTGTTTTATATCTATGATGGTGGTTGATGCTTTATACCTGAGAATTTCATGCTTGAGGTTGCTGTGAATTGTGACCTTTCCTTTCTGTAATTTAAATTTTCTAATTGCTTATCTCTAGTATATAGAAAGTCGATTTTTTTATATTTATCTTTTCCGCATTTATCTTGTTTAATTCACTATTATTTGTAATAGCTTCTTACTAAATTGTGATTTTTTATGGATAATTATGTCATCTATGAAGAAAGAGTTTAAATTAGTTCTTTACAATATGGATGCATTTTGTGTCTCTTTCTTGCCTTATCACAGTATGTGGTTACACTATAATGCTGAAGAGAAAAAAACTGAGAGAAGAAAAACACTTGTCTTTTTTTTTTCAAAGTTTGTGGAGAGATATTCAGTTTTTAGTTGTTTGATATTAGATCCAGCTGTTGTATAATTTACTCTTGTGTGATTTGTCATCTATCTTATTTGGTGACTTTAGGACAAGAAAGTGATTGTTGACTTTTGCCTAATATGTATGCTGCATATATTGAGATAATCATATTCTTTTATTTATGTTGTTTATCCTGTGCATTAATCTTCAAAGTTTAATCAATTTGGCACTCCAGAGATAAATTCCACAATGATATGCAATACCTTGCACATTTTGCTTTTCCTGTATTGGCAATTTGCTAATATTTTGTCCAAGATTTTGATTTATGTCCATGAAGAACATTGATATATATTTCTTTGTCTTCAGCAGGTAGTGGTTTGGCTCTTGTTGGGAGTTCAGGAAGATGCCAGAGCTCGTATGCCATTGCTATTAGGAAGCAAGTCCCTTTGAGGAAATCTAACCCTAGCATTACAAAGAAGAGTGTTGAAAGTGGGATATAATCAGAGATGTAGTAAGCATGTTGTTCACTACTATAAAAATCAAACTAAATTTAGTATATTCCCACAAATTGAAATGAACCTAACCATTTTAACACTACAAAACATTGTAACATTACAAAAAGATGGCTTTCTATGACTGTTGAGTACTTAAGTCAAGTAAATGAACTTAAAGTAGAAAGCACTATAAATAGTGCTTTAAACATAATCAGGTTATTTTACTGTTTGTAGTAATATTACATTTCAGAGTAAGACAAATTTTAAATAATATCAGCCAAAAAAAATTCAGGATAATAAAGATATACAGTTAATGGGTGCTAAACCAAATACAATTCCAGGCTTTCTTGTGCTGAAGAGTATGTAGAGTGAGCAAAGACATAATTCCATAGGCAAGAAACAGATACTCTATTAATAAGAAGAAACTACCATGGCAAACAAGAAAATTAGCTGTGTACCTTTGTTGAGTCCATTGACCTTTTTTTTGCAGCAATCTTCTAGTTTTTAATATTTGAATAGTGTCAATTTCATCAATGTTCAAGAGAACTAAATGATGGTAGCAGGTAATATTAATTAATATTACTTATAATTTATATTACTAAAGCTAATAATTAGTAATTAATATTACTAATAAATAATAAAACACTAATTATTATTACCAAAAGAGAGTGGTGCAAACCAGAAACCAGTGTGTTTAAACAGGTACAGGTCAGAAATCTATCAAGTGCACAAGTAGAAGTGTCATTGAGTCAGGTTGCTGGGTGAATTCTGGTTTGTTACCTTCATTTAAAAAACCTGCCTTAAGGTTGTTATTATAATGCTTCTACACTGCTTTTGTTAGGTTAAAGGACTTTCTCCCAATTATTGCTCAATACATGGTTGCCTAGGAGAATGCAAATAAGATTGTGGTTGCTAACAGAACTTTCTCAAGTTTCCTATAACTCATTGAACCTTGAACATGTACTTAGTGTGATTAATCCTGCAGAGTGAATGAAATTTAAACCTTTTTTTTTTTTTAATACCAGGCTTAAAGCTAAGTGAACAGCTCTATTCAAAAAGTAAGATAACTCTTTCAGGTGGCGCCAAGCAAACTGGCTATTCAGTAAACTATTCTGGTGTATCAACAAAGTTCACTTCCTGTGTTTTTGAAGCTTGAGGAGCATAGGCATTGAACCATGGGAAGAAAATCACTGTACCTTCTGATCTTGGGAGTCCTCGTAGCATATTATGTTTATATACCTCTTCCAGATAATTTTGAGGAGCCATGGAGAATGATGTTGACAAATGCCCATCTGAATACTATAGGACATTTGGTAAGTTTGGAATTTTATTCAATCAGAGCTGCATATTGAAAGACTGGAGCTGGAAAAGTAAATTTTACAAGATTTTGCTCATTGTTCTTTTGTTTTTATTGATTGATTTCCAATTTAAAATAAATGCTGTCTCTTTTGGCTATTAACTGTTTAGAAATATTGCTTATTTGTTTTGTTTGCTTTCAAGTTCATATGTCAGAGTTGTGTTAAAAGTATCGAGAAGAGTTTGTATAGGATAGGCTCTAGTTCATTTCTGAACATTTGGTAGAATTTATTGTGAGGCGGTCTCGTCCTGGGCTTTGTTTTGGGGGAGAGTTTTGATTACAATTTCAATTTTATTGCTTGGAATTAGTTTGTTTAGGTGTTCTATATCTTCTTTACCTAGCTTTGGATGATTGCATATTTCTAGGAATTTGTCAATCTTTTCTAGATTGTTGAACTTGTTTGCATATAAATATTCATAGCAATCTTTGATTATTCTTTTGACTTCTGCTGTGTCTGTTGTAATTTCTCCTCTTTTGTTTATGATCCTCTTTATTTGGGTTTCTCCCAGTTTTTCTCTGTGGGCCTGGCTAGAGGTTTGTCTATTTGGTTTATTTTTTTGAAGAACAAACTTTTGGTTTGTTGGTCTTTTGGAGTTTTTTTACATTTCTGTTTTATTTATTTCTGCTTTGATTTTTATTATTTCCTTTCTTTTAATGGCTTTTGGGGTTTTTTTTCCTAGTTCTTTGAGATGGGAGAGTTGGTTGTTTCCTTGAGTTCTTTCTTGTTTCTTGATGTGGGCCTGCTATATATTTTCCTCTTACTACTGCTTTTTCTGTGTCCCATACATTCTGGAAAGTTGTGTCCTCATTGTCATTCATTACAAGGGTAGTTTTTTTATTTCTTCTTTGGTCTCCTCATTAATCCAATTGTCTTCCAGTAGTGTGGGGTTCAATTTCCATGAAGTGGGAGGGTTCCTTGCTTTCTTTTCATGGTTTATTTCTAGTTTGATACCTTTATGATCAGAGAAGATAGTTGGTATGATTGTTATCTTAATGTATCTGTTGATGTTTTTCTTGTGGCACAGTATGTGATCAATCCCGGAGAATGATCTGGGTGCACTTGAGAAAAATGTGTGCTCAAACCTTTTTGGGTGCAGTGTCCTACAGATGTCTGTTAAGCCCATGAGGTATAGGTCTTTATTTACAGCTATATTGTCCTTGTTTATTTTTTGTCTCATTAATCTGCCCACTGGTGAGAGTGAGGTGTTGAAGTCTCCTATATGACATACATCTCAGAAACATCTTTAAAAACTCATCCCCCAAAGCAAAGAAAGTGAAGAAAAAGATAAACATCTGGGATTACATCAAACTAAAAATCTTCTGTACAGCAAAAGAGACATTAACCAAAACAAAGAGACACCCTACTGATTGGAGGAAAATTTTTAGACTCCATACAACCAATAAGGGACTGATCACAAAGATCTACAAAGAACTCACATGACTCAGCAAAAACAAAGTAAACATTCCAGTCAAAAAATGGGCAAAAGAACTAAACAGACACTTCTCCCAAGAGGAAATGCAAATGGCCAACAAATATATGAAAAAATTTCAACATCACTTTTAATCAGGGAAATGCAAATCAAAACCACACCTTATACCAGTAGAAAGGCACACCTTAAAATAAAACTGGCAACAACAAATATTGAAGAGGATGTAGAGAAAAAGGAACTTTCCTGCACTGCTGGTAAGAATGCAAACTCGTCCAACCACTATGGAAAGCAGTATGGAGGTGCCTCAAATTACTAAAAATTGAGTTTCCATTTTAAAACTGTACCCAGCAATTCCACTCTTAGGAATCTACCCAAAGAACACAAAAACACTAATTTGAAAGGATATCTGCACCCCTATGTTTATTGCAGCACTATTTACAATAGGTAAGCTATGGAAATAACCCAAATGCCCAAAAATAGATGACTGGATCAAGAAGATGTGGTACATATACACAATGGAATACTACTCAGCAATAAAGTCATGCCATTCACAGCAACAAGAATTGAACTGAAAGGGATTATGCTCAGTGAAATAAGTCAGAAGGAAAAAGAAAAATATCAGATGGTTTCACTTACAGGAGGAATGTAGAGGAACCAAATGAGGGAATCAGGGAAAATATAATATTAATAAATAAAAAAACAAAACTAGCAAGCAACTATAAATCAGAGACATTTTGCAGAGGAGGGAGAGGGAGAGAGATCAAAATGGGGCAGGAAGAGGACAAGGGACTATGGTGATGGTTCAGAGGTGAAATGGTGGTGGGAATTTTATGGGGACTACACCTAAGAGGAAAAACCAACATTGTAAAAAAAATGAACAATGATACACACACACACACACACAAATATCAAGAAGAATAAGCAAAGAGGCATTCATGTAGCTTTTATTAAAAATGCTGTGTTTAGGTAGAATTAATGTTATGAGAGTAGTGGCTGTGTGAAGTTATCATATCCTACATAAGGTTTGGTATTTAATTTCATCAACAAATTATTTGATTCCAGCCCTGTTAGAGACTTCTATGCCGTCCTTTTGGGATCTAGAGTATATGTTAAGGACATGTAAATTAGTTCTCAAAGAAATACTTCGTAGGCATCCTGGCTGTGCTGGGTCCAGGGTTCGCCACAGCAGGCATGATAAGCAGAAGTGGAAGGGGGAAGGACCGTGAGATGTCACGGCAAGAGGCTGCCTGCGAGAGCGGCTCTGGTGCCGGCTTGTATGAAAGGCGCAGCTCTTTAGCTCCTTGGGATATTGTCCTGTTACTTCTTTGGTTATTTTATTCCCTTCATTTAAAAAAAATCTCATTTTAGACTTTAAACTAGATGGCTGCTGTAACTCCCAGGGTGATCTCATATTTCTCATTTATTCATCGATGAAACAATTTAAAATCTGAATGGCACACAAGGAGTCTGCCTCCAGGGTTTACATTCTAGTGGTGGAGAAAAAGAGCAAGTTAGAGTCAAATGAGTGAATAAATTCAGATTAGAAGCGCTGTCAGAAGGTAAGCAGGGGAAAAAGAGTGGCTTCTGGGCAGATCACATGGACAGGGATGCTATCTGTGGACAGAGAAAGGTTGCAAAGAGAAAAACTTCTGGTCAGAGACCCAAACGATGAAAAGAAACCTGTCACCCTCAGTGTAAAGGACAAACATTTTCCAGCAGAGTCTGCAACAAGTTCAAAGGTTTCAGCTGCAATAAATAAGCTCAAGAAATCACAGGAGATATTTGGTAATAATGGAGAGATTGTTACAATTTATGTTAGCTGTCATATCATCTGGTGCTTTGGGGTAATGGCAGTAAGTTTGATTTAGTTTCCTGTGCAATGCAGAGTTACAAGTTTTAGAAAGCAGAAATATTTTTATCATATTTGATCTCTTTGTACTACAATTTATAAAAAGTTCTTGATTATTTTTCTTTGAGTCTTGTTATTAACTTCCTTAAACTTATTTAAATAGTCATTTCTATTTTTGATTTTTTCTTCTTCTCTGATAACTGTTTTTTGCAGCCTGCCCATGATTTCTGAATGAAATATATTTTCAGATATCTCAAAGGATAGTTAGATTCAAAAAGTCTTAATTTATTTTCTCATCCCTGATTTTTTACTCTTGATTTTCTTGGATATAGATTGTTAAATTATTCTGTTGATATAGATTGCTATCCTTGGTTAGTTTGGTTGACTTCCCTCAAACGTCTGGCAATCTTTAAGAATCTATTTGTTATTAAAAGACTATATTATGTACATTAAATCAAGAACTAAACTGCTGGATTTTGAATCTTGGTAATTGTCATTAATAGAAGCATGATTTTGGATTACTTAGCAACCTCCCCGGGTTCATTTTTCTTACGTTCGAGTATGATAATATCAACTTTATATATATAAGTACATTATTAATATTATTGAGATTGAGACACAGAAAGCACGAAAGACAATTACTTGCTCTAGGGTGAAGGGACAGGATGCAGATGACAGATGGTCCCTCTCTTCCCTTCGCCATTACTTCACTCCCAACCCACACCCAGATCTACTCCCCCACCCCACACCCAGCTTCAGAAAATACCTCCCTGTATCAACAAGAATGTCCTCAAAGAGAAGCTAACCTAATGTCTATGCCTGTAAGGGTTTTCCCTTTATTTGTTTGGGCATATATTAAGAATAGCTTTTACTCGTTGGACTCAGACAAAATTATACTTTCTGTTTGAAAGTGATTTTCCATTTGTTATTCCTTGATGTACTCTGTTCCCAAAGTACCACATGCAAAGCTCTATATCAACATTTACATTGTTGTATTAGTTTTCAACAGTTTACTCATCTGTCTCTCTCAAGTAACTCTGAGGTTCTTGAAATGAGCATTTCTTATTTTCATTTTGTAACCCTAAAGCTTAATAGGAATAAGGACTCTTGGGGAATAAGTACTAAATGGATGCTCCTGCATTTTTTCTTTTTAAAGATTTATTTATTTATTTATTTATTTATACAAGCACTGGGTACACTCAGAAGCAAGGGAGGGTGAGAGAATTCACCAGAGCCAGAGTGGGAACAGAACAGGCAGACCGATGAAAAACACTGCTGAGGGGAGCAGCAAGCCGCAGGAGAGGTCTGCACACAATGTGGGACCCTAGCCGCTGGCTGGGCATGGAACTGGCACTGCAGGGGCTGTGAGCAGCTTCTCAGCCCAGTGCTCAATCGCTGCGCCACCAGGGAAGGCTCTCCTGCATTTTTTTTAACCACTGTGAGTCCCACCACTTTCAGAGAGCAAAGAGAGTTTGTGGATGAGACTTTCATTCATTTTATTTGAGCAAACTAGAGGATGATATATGCTGATGTGTTCATAAATCTCTGATATTTGGAATGTGCATTCTAAGAAATGTGTGATTTCATTATTAGGCAAACTTTGTCCAACTACTGGGAATTAGCAACTCTATGGATTCCTTTAAGATATTTATGAGTTTTCTTGAAGTCTCACCAACCTCAGATGAAAATGTCACTGTGACTGATACAACATTTAACAACATTCCTGTCCGTGTCTTTATGCCCAAGAGAAAGTCAGAAGCACTGAGAAGGGGTTTATTTTATATCCATGGTGGTGGCTGGTGTTTGGGAAGTGCTGGTAAGTGAATTATTTTTTTTTTAAATTTCTTATTAGTGGAATATTGTGTAAAAATTTTATCAGAAGACAAAAGTTTTCTCTTCATTTGAATGACTCTAAGAGCATACTCTGCTCTCTGCTTTCTTCTGTGATATTAGAAAACTTTTGTCTTCTCAACTCCACCCACATTGATGAGAAAAGCCTGTGTATAAAGGGGTATTTGAAACTTCAATGAAGAGCAAAATGTTGCTCAGAGAACAAAGCAACTTGAAGACAAAAGAGAGTGCAGTATCTAAGCAGAAGGACAATGTTTACTTACTAAAGACATTATATTCTATTAAAATGGGATGCAGGTCAACTGAGAGAATGTAGGTTGGATTGGATTCTATATTAAGAACACTGAACTCCAGAAAGGGAAAATAAAATCAGTCCAAATAAGAAATGGTATAGCATTAAAATTAGGCAAAATTTGTTAATTGATATGAAAGAATATGAGCTGGAGAGGGAGAGAAGAGAGAAGAGAAGGGGACAGAAGGAGGGAATGCAGAGGAGAGAAAATATTATTTTCTTATTTCGATAGGATGATATGATGACAGAGAGGGTGAGGATAGATCCCTAAGGATATAGACTTAAGGTTTGATAGAGGAATAAGCAAGAGCAAAATAATGAGAAATTATCAAGAAGGTAAAAATGTAAATAAAACGGAAGCCAATGAAGGTGAGAGTTTCGAGAAAGAGTGATTAATAAGTACTAAATGGTGTAGAGATGTCAAATGAGTTAGGATGGAATCACATATCTTGAATGCTGAATTTTTATGTTAATATTGAGGATAGATTTGATGGTGTTTCCACATAGAAACATTTCAGCAAGCAAAATGCGAAATTTGCAGAGGCGGTAAAAATGATTATCGGTCTTAGAGTGGTTTAGTTGTGAAAGGAATAAGCAAGAGAAGAGTAAATTGAAATGAGAGTTAAGTAAGAGTACTTAATCTTAATACTTTTAATGTGGATACACATGACCAAGCTAGTAGAGCAAAGAAAATAAAGGTAATTAGCAGAGATACATTAGAGCAATAGATGGGCTAAAAGTATTGACTGATAGAAGACATCCCAGAGGAAATCTGAAGGAAGAATTTCAGAGCAATGGTAAAAGAATTGGATATGGACAGGAAGTTTGGAGACAGATAAAAATAGCATAAATCTTCCCCCTAGACAGTAATGAAAGAGGCAAAGACAGATGTCAGCTAGATAGATGTTTAGGATAGCAGTACGGATGCAAGTAATAAATCAAAGAGTGCCAGTGTTGTGTTTAGGAGAGCTTAGTTCTGTCCCACTTATTTTCAGATATTTGTACATTCTCCCATGCACATTTAGGTGGTCCTCTATGGTACCACAATTCTTTTTTTTCCCCCAAGATTTATTTATTTGTGCATACAAGAACTGGGGTGTAGGCCAGAGGTGCAGGGGATTGAGAGGATTCACCAGACAGAGTGGGGAGCAGAACAGGCAGATCTACTGAAATATACTGCTGAGGGGAGCAGCAGGCGAAACAGGAGAGGTCTGCTGCACCTTGTGGGTCAGCACCCTAGCCAGCAGGGAATCGAACTTAGGCTGTAGTGACTGGCGATAGCTTGGTAGCGCTGTTTAACCCCTGCACCACGAGGGGGCGTGCTACCACAATTCTTTATATCTCATTTGCTCACTCAACTGACAGCATATCGGTTAAGTGACTTACCTCTTTATCAATCTCTCTTCCAGTAAGGGAGTTGTATTCTTCATTCAAGAGAATGAAGCTGGCTTAGAAGCACCAAAGATCTAAGTGGTGAGGAGGAATTAGGAGGCTCAATGAGACTTAAATTATACTGAGTAGTGAATAAGTGGTTTCTTATGGATAAGTCCAGCATTAAAGTTGTTTCTCTAGAATTTTAAAGTAGAGCAGGTGGAGAATTGTCAGAACATGAAAACAATAGGATTTTGTAAAGGAAAGATCCTGTTCTTTTTTGTCTGTTTTCATTAATATCCTATTTTTATTCCATTATTTCAGCTTTACAGCATTATGATCTACTATCAAGATGGACAGCAGACAGACTTGATGCTGTCGTTATATCAACCAAGTAAGAACTATGTTGATTTGTTTTCAGATCAGATGATTTTACCAGGATTCTCAGCTTTATTGCTGATGTGTGATCATACCACAAATAAAGGAAGAAAGAGCTGAGAATAAAGGATTTTTTTTCACATAAGCTTAATGTACAGCTGTGGACATAATTATTTGGACTGGATTTTCTCTCATTATTTAAGTCAAAATCTTTAAGAATGCGTGCCTCAGTTCAGAGGATTACTTATAAAATTGCCTCATAAATAATTCTTTTTTTTTTTTTTAAGATTTTTTATTTATTTTATACAAGCACTGGGTACAGTTAGAGGTACCGGAAGGTGAAAGAATTCACCAGAGCCAGAGCGGAGCGTAGAATAGTCAGAGTGACGAAGTACACTGCTGAGGGGAGCAGCGGGCTGCAGGAGAGGTCTGTGCGCCATGTGGGACCCTTGCCTGGTGGCCGGGGATAGAACCGGCGCTGCAGAGGCTGTGGGCAGCTTCGCAACCCAGCGCTCAACCACTGCGCCACCGGGGAGGCCCCTCATAAATAATTCTTATTTCAGGTTATCATTGTGATGACAAAGTGGTGAAATTCCTGAAATGGACTTTGCTCAGTCTCTAATACCTAAATATTAATCTAAAATATTTAGATTCATTATTGCATTAAAAAAATAAGGCCAAGGCCTCCTTGGTGGTGCAAGGGGTTAAGACGCAACATATGAGGCTGTCCGCAGCCACTGCAGCATGAGCTGGATCCCCCACCAGGGAGCTAAAAGTACATTTTGTCTTTTAAGACTGTATAAATTATTACTAATTTAAATGAATCAACATAGGTTTCTAAGAATGTTATTTGACTTGCTGTCTTAAGAAAATCATCTTTAAAAAATAAACGAGGACACATGGTGCAGCAGACCTCTCCTGGCTTTCCTGCTGCTCTCCTCAGCAGTGTGTTTCACTCAGTCTGCCTGTTCTGTTCCCCACTCTGTCTCTGGTGAATCCTTTCACCTCTGCCTCCACACCTCTGGCCTATACCCCAGTTCTTGTATGCATAAATAAATAAATATTTAAAAAAATAATAAGGCCAATGAGCAGCATAAAGAAGCATTTAGAACAATTATCTGAATTTGAAAATAACACTTCGGGATAGTAAAGTTCAAGTAAACTGTTGGGTCTCCCTGTGTCAGGACTATATATACCTATTGAAACATAAGCTTCAGAAAATGAAAGAAAACTTAGGAAATAACAGTCAATGACCATTTATCAAGTTAAATGACTACTAGAAAGTTATAACATAGTCATGTAGTAATTAAATTTTTTAAAGTAATTACAAAATCCAATTTTATACTGTTTTGCATTCCTAGTTTATTTTTTAAAAATGATTTTCTTAAGCCAGCCAAAAACATTCTTAGAAACCTATGTTTGATTCATTTAAATTAGTAATAATTTATACAGACTTAAAAGACAAAATGTGCTTTTAAATTTTTTATAAACATAGGTCTTCCCTTTGGATATGCTTTTATTTATGTTAAAAGTAAATGACTATAAAAATTAGATGATTTCACTATAAAATTAAAATGGCAAATAGGTACATGAAATGATGCCCAATATCATTATCATTCAAAATGAGATACATCAATGAGATACCATTTCATACCCATTAGGATAACTATACGAAATATATACCTATATCAACAAATGTTGGAAATTACCTGGAGAAACTGGAATCCACCATACTGCTGGTGGGACTGTAAAATGATGTAGCCATTTTAGAAAACATTTTGGCAGTTCCTCAAAAGGTTAAAAATAGAGTTACCAGAAGTTTCAATCTGAGGCATATATGCAATGTAAATAAAAACATGTCCACACAAAAATCTGTAAGTTCATGGCAATATCATTCATAAAAGCCTAAACATGAAAAAAATCCAATGTCCATTGACTGATGGATAGATTAATAAAATATCCATACAATAGCACATTGAATGCTATTTGTCAGTAAGACAGGATCTCACCACATGGATAAATCTTGAAAATATTATACTAACTGAAAATAACCAGTCATAAAAGGCCACCTATTTCATGATTCCTTTTATATGTCCAGAGAAAGCAAATCTATAAAAATTGAAACTAGATTAGTAGCTGCCTTGTGCTGGGGTAGGGACAGGTGACAAAAGGAAATGAGAAGTGATTATTAAAGGGTATAGAGTTTATTCTTGGGGTGATGAAAATATTCTAAAGTTGATTGTGATGATGGTTGTACAACTGTCTATGTACTAAAACTTCACTGAATTGTGTGATTTAAATAGGTGAAATTTATGCTATATGAAGTAGTTATATTAAATTTATGAACTTATAAATATTAAAATCTATGAACTTATGTTTATCAAAAGAGTTAATACAAAATTTAAAATATATGCATACATACACACAAATACATGGTCTTTCTGTCATCCAAAATGTATAAACACTGACCAGTTTATAGAAATATATGGAAAGAGTGAAAAAGACAGTTTATAGAAAAGAATATGCAAATCACCAATAAACAAATGAAAATTTAATACAGGAAAAGGAAAGCATAAATTAAAATGATAAGAATATACCTCTAGATACCCAATATTACACCTAAAATAAGAAAGACAAAACATCAAATGTTGGGTAAGCACTTTCATAACTATCTGGTTTGACAATAAACTTGGTACAACTGCTTTGGAAAACTTTTGACAATAGCAGGTAAGTTTAACATAGATGCATAGTTCTCTCATCATGAGTAACATTTACAGGTATATATCCACAGAAATTTATATATAAGTTCATGAAAAATCATGTACTAGAATATTTATTGCAAAAACTGAAATGTCTATCAACATTTTAATGGATAAAGGAACGGTGGTATTTACACACCATGGAGTATTCTACAGGAAGACAGAAGCATGTAGCAATGTGGAAGAAGCTCAGAAATATAATGTTGAACAATTAAAACCAGAAACTTAATTCTGGCTCTATGGTTCCAGTTATTTAGGGAATAAAATAGGTAAAATGAACCTATTCGGTTTTGTCAGGTTAGTGGATACTTCAGGGGCTGGGAAAAGTAAATGGAAGAGAGGTTAAGACAGGACTGTAGGGTGCTAGCAATGGTCTATTTCACGTTCCAGGTGCTGGTTTTATGATTGTGTTCATTTTGGAAACTAAACGCGCTGCGTGCTGAAGATACATTTCTGACATGGATAGTAAGCTTTAATAAAAAGTAAAAATATAAATGACATGAAAATCATGTTTTCTCTCCACAGTTACAGATTAGCACCTCAATATCACTTCCCAATTCAATTTGAAGATGTATATAATGCCTTAAGATGGTTCTTACGCACAAAAGTTCTTGCACAATATGGCGTGGACCCCGAAAGAATCGCAGTCTCTGGAGATAGTGCAGGAGGGAATTTAGCTGCCGCAGTAACCCAACAGGTATGACGCTCATCATTTCTGTGTTTAAAAATAAATCTATTTATAAGCAGATCTATTTACTAAAAGATGATCTCTTTTGACATTATAGTTTAAATGTGTATAAATAAATATATTTAAACATAAATGCAAATATAAGGGTTTTAGTCATTGGAAATATTAAGGAAAATATTCAGAAGAAATGACTAAAATATCAAAATATCAATCTCTGTTCCTGTCATAGGTTTTTCATTTCATAATAAAATGACAATTCTCTAGATATATAAGTGATTTAAAATTTATATATTTCAGTAAAATATTATACTAGTCAGATGAGATCATGTATTTGGGAGATCAGATAATGATCTTATCAGCCTATAAGTGGTTTAGAAAGATCCAGTTATTTTCAATGGGAAATTTCCCTGTTGCAGAATAATCACACTACTTTTAGAAAATTATCAGCACATTCAAAGATGTCTATGCTGCATATAAAGAAGTATAAAATATTCAAAATATTCCCTTTTGTAAGGCTGGATAATTTAATCTCTCAAGAATAATACGCACTTTCCATAAGAGATTATAAATAGGTTTTGTTTTTATGAATGGGAATTAAAATTGCTATTGATTATTTAAAGTCTGAACTGTTTTCACATTTAGCAATGTTATCTGGAGAGGAAGCTACTTTTGACCTATAGGTGTGAAAGTTTGTGTTTTATTTGTTGATTTTAATTATAAAGTACAAATGGAAAACATTTTGTACAATTACTGTTGTTTTGTTTCTTATATTTATAATTTTTTTACGTTAAAAACATGTTTTGGCTTCTGGAGTCTGCTGGACAACTTTCTCAGAAATGAAGAATGTTATGTTTGGGCTTTGTTCCAGCCACAATGTAGGACAGCAGTTTTGAACTTCCTAGGCCACTGTGGGAATCATTATTGTAGGTTTCTTAATATAGCAGGAAAGCATTCGATTAGACATGAAGAAACTTGGATTTTCTTGATCTTGGCCAGGCTACTTAGCCTCTGTACTCACTCATTTCTTCATCTGAGGCAAAATGTTTCCTAACAAATTTGTTGAGTTGTTTTTGAGAGTTACAGGAATAAATTTATATCTGGAAGCCTGTTATTATCTTTAAAAAGGTCTCCAGTGTATCCAAAATGCTTTACTTTGACCATTACAGTTATAATGTGAGTAAATATGATTTGCAAACTATGTGGGAGTATATTCAATAATACTTTAATGTAGATGCACTTTAATGTAGATGTTATTTACATTCTGAAGTATAATGTACACTTTGAAACATATAAAAAGCTGCATTTATATATGTTAACTAAACTATGCAGGTAAAGGGGGACAATGATTAAATGGGGAGTGGGCTGTGAAGCTTTAGTGGTGTGTGCAGTATGATAACAACAGTTAAAGGGGGAGAGTCTGTGCTTCTAAAATACAAACAACATTGCAAACCAATGTTGCCTCAATTTAAAAAAATAATTAAAATATATTTTCTTTTTTTTTTTATTTTTTTATTTTTTTATTTTTTTTTTTTATAGAGGCATGTTTTATTTATTTATTTATTTGTTTGTTTGTTTTGTTTATACATGCACTGGGTACAGTCAGAAGCGCGGGAGGGTGAGAGAATTCACCAGAGCCAGAGTGGGGAGCACAGCAGGCAGAAGGACCGAAGTACACTGCTGAGGGGAGCAGCGGGCGGCAGGAGAGGTCTGCGCGCCATGTGGGACCCTCCTCCGGTGGCCGGGGAGCAGCCGGGGATCGAACCGGCGCCGCCGAGGCTGCGGGCAGCTTCACAACCCAGCGCTCAACCACTGCGCCACCGGGGAGGCCCATTTTCATGTATTTATTTATTTGTTTGTTTATACAAGCACTGGGCGATGTGGGACCCTCCTCCTGTGGCCGGGGAGCAGCCGGGGATCGAACTGGCGCCGCAGAGGCCGTGGGGAGCTTCGCAACCCAGCGCTCAACCGCTGCGCCACCGGGGAGGCCCATAAAATATATTTTCTAATATTCCATTCTAACTTATCAATGACCCTTTTTGCCCATTCTGTATTTGTGGACTCCTTGCAGACCACTGCTCTTAACAAATATTAGCACATTTACCTGGTATGGAAAAGAATGATTTTAATAAAATGTTTCTTACAGAAAGTCTGCCCAAGTCACTTAAAACAGTATATCAGTTCAGCATCAAAGTAAATCAGTAATCCCTATTAGACGATTCTTTCACTCCATGGTTGGGTCCATTGGTATACTAGTATATTTTTAAAAACTCTTATATTAAGCAAAAGAGAAAAAGATGAAATGTATGCAATTTTTTGTCCTCATTCTTTGTAAAAAAGGTAGTATATTTATGTCTGTCCTTTACTTTTCTTGGATGCTTTTCCTTAAATTAAAATAATTAATCTTAATTAAAATTAAAACAAAATAATATCTAGTTCTAGAAATTGATTTTGTATATTGAAAAGTTAGCCACTTAAATTTTGTTGAGATTATAAAGTAATCTATAGATTATTTTGTTCCATTTATTTATTATTTTAAAGTGATATATTTTATGCAAGTAATCCTAATTATTTCTCAGCTCCTAGATGATCCAGATGTCAAGGTCAAACTCAAGATCCAGTCTTTAATTTATCCTGCTCTTCAGCCTCTTGATGTAGATTCACCATCATATAGAGAAAATTCACATTTTCCTCTTCTGTCCAGATCGTCGATGGTCAGGTTCTGGAGAGAATATTTTACCACAGATCCATCCCTTGAGAAAGCCATGCTTTCCAATCAACATGTACCTGTGGAATCTCATCATCTACTCAAGTTTGTTAATTGGAGTTCCTTGCTTCCTGAGAGGTATATAAAAGGACATGTTTATAAGAATCCAATTTATGGTAGTTCTGAAATAGCAGTAAAATATCCAGGGTTGTTTGATGTGCGGGCAGCCCCTCTTTTGGCTGATGACAAGAAGTTACGTAGTTTACCTCTGACCTACGTCATCACCTGTCAATATGATGTCTTAAGAGACGATGGACTCATGTATGTTACCCGACTTCGTGATGCTGGAGTTCCTGTGATCCATAAACACATTGAGAATGGATTCCATGGAGCATTTTCATTTCTGGAATTTAAAATTAGTCACAGGCTTATAAATGATTATATTAGTTGGTTACATGAAAATTTATAGCAAAATATTTATCAATCATATTTTAAGAACAAAGCAAACTCAAGACATCAGAAAACCTAATCTAATCATGCCTGTGGAAGCAGCTGATCAATGATAGAAAAAAATGCAGCTCCAACTAGTAGGATTTACAGGTTTTATTTTCTAAAACAGTGTCAAAAGAAATTTTGCAAATGGGAAAGTTTATTGTTGGGCAAATTTTAGTGAAATTGAATAACGATGGAATTTCAAAACAGGTGATTCTTTTGGGAAAAAACAAAGCAAAACAAAATTCCAATGATCCAGCAATTCTATATTCAGGTATTTTTTTCAAAACAATAAAACAGGTCCACAAAACAAAACTGGTGTAAGTATGTTCATTTTAGCTTTATTCACATCACTAAAAGAATTGGTGGAGGGGAGGGACAGGATTCTCTAATATTGTTTGTCTTTTCTTTCTCTTAAACTTCCACTATTGAAATGTAATACTTTCTCAAAGACACTCCTTTCCCTACTTTTCCTCCCACCACCAAAGCTAGAGGTAATGTAGGGGCTAACATATTGCTCCTAACAGACTATCCCACCTCCAGCCTTGTTCAAGGGTGAGCAAATTCAGTACTGTAGGAGATAGCTGTTCTGTTGCCTGTTTCTATATAATCCTGATAATGGCTTCATATATTATAGAATATTGTGAATAAAAGAAGAAATAGGAAAAGAGACAGAGGGTTTTTTTCTGTTGGAAGATGACATCAGAGGAGTTTCCCTCTTTGTTCCTGAGAGGATACTCTAGAGTAGTCCAGAGGGACACCGGATTCAGTAGATCCTGTGATTGGGGGCACCTCCTGGATATATGAGACAAACATTGACCATGACAGAAGAGACACAGGAAATTCAACTCTATACAACAAAAGGTGGGTGGAGAGAGAATGCTTAGGTTTACCATCACGTTTGAGTTCCTACTGGGTGGGAACCAGTGGTTGAGGCCCATGCTCTCATGTTAGGCCAGGAAGGGGAAAGCTGCTTAGTAGTGAAGCACACTCCTAACTGTGTGGAGATACATGCAGTGGTGTTGGGAGCAGCCAGGTGGGCAGGTCCCCAGTGAAGATGACAAACATCACCATGGTGCAGGACCTCCCTTAGCCCTCTCTGAACTTGAGCTGAGAAGAGGCTCTAAAAGTAATACCTGGGTAGAGATTAAGGTGTAGAATCATAGAGAGGAGGGCTGTCAAAGGTAGCACAGGCACACAGCACCCCTGCACACCACTTCTACCAGTGACTGGACCACTCTGCACGCGCCCCGCCAAACACACCCAGACACAGCAGCTGCAGATAAGTTCTTCCTGACATACAGTGTCATGAACTAGAAGAGTAGAAGTTCTACACCCTTGGGACGCTCGGAAAAAACATAACCTTGAAAATTAGAAAATGAGGAGAAAGAAAAATAAACACATGGCACCATAAGTCCTCAAGGCAATATATCAGCACACAGAGAGAATATATCTCCAAAATTCAACTGCAAGGACATGGAAGAACTTTCCAGAGTTCAAAATTGCCATGAAAAAGGATTAAAAGAAAATGCAGAAAAGTTGATCAAAGATAAAAAGGAAATTCAAAAAAATAAATGAGTGCCCAAAACAACAAAATTAATGATCAAAACAGAAAAAAAGAAAAGATGAATAGAATAAGGAAAAGAAAGGGGGAAAAAAGGTGATGATGAGGAGGAAGAGAATATATGTGACTGGCAATGCCTAAATACAGAAAAAAACTTGCAACAAACTATACAAAAAATATATTCCTCTTTGCAGTCATTTGCCAAACCCTGGGTTACTCCATCTCATGTCTCAAAAGTTTTTACCTTTGAGCTCACTATCAATATTTCATGACAGCATTGATAACCTCAGTATTTATTTAAATAATATTTTAAGCACCCTGAACTCAGCTATTTGGCATGCTGTCCTCCGATAATCTTGTTCTCTCCTTGAATAAAGCACTCTCATCGTCATGCCCTAGATATGTGTCTTGTGCAATGTGCCATGCTCAACAACCTTGCCTCTCCAAGGTCTTTTTTTTCACGAGCTTAAGTATTATTTAATTTATTTTTTTAATTTCTTAAAACAATATTTGCTTCCCCCCACCCCCTCAGGTTGAGTGCCCATAGAATTTCCTTCCCCAAGGCACCCATGCACCATCAACATAGTCCCCTGTGCGCCTCCCTCCCTCCCTCTGATTCCTCTCCCTCCTCCTCCCCTGCAGTATGTCTCTGATTTGTAATTGTCTGTTTTTGCTTTGTTGAGTTTTGTACTGTTATTATTTTTTTTACACTGATGTCTTATTTGGTTCCCCTATATTCCTGCTATAAGTAATCCCATCAAGAAATGGGCAGAAGAACTTAGAAAACATTTCTCCAAAGAGGAAATGCAAATGGCCAACAGGCATATGAAAAAATGTTCAACATCCCTGATAATCAGGGAAATGCTAATCAAAACCACGCTGAGATACCACCTTACACCTGTAAGAATGGCACATATCAAAAAAACAAGGAACAACATATGTTGGCGAGGATGTGGTGAAAAGGAACTCTCCTGCATAGTCTTAATGCCAAACAGTAGCTCACTACCACGTCAATTCAATTCACTACCAATTTCAATAATATTTGAAACATTATGGAACTTAAAATTTATGGATCATGCCAACATTTCATGCTTCCTTATACTTCTCACATATAAAATCCCCTCACCAAAAATATGTTCTGTGGTCAGAGTAATCCCTCCCTTGTATATATCATGTACTCCCTTGTTCCTCATTAGTCACAGCCACAGCCTGAATAAATTTGTCTCCCTGCCTACTCTGCAAATCAACTTGTGCAACTGTATGTGGTTAAAGAAAGGCAAAGATGCATAATAAAATTTCTCACTTTAATTCAAGACTATAAATTTCATGTGTGCCCTTAGTGACTCCCACAATTACACTATTGTTTTTCTAGTCAAATGAATCATCTGATCGTATCTGATCTTGCGAAGGCTATTCAAATCTCCTATAACTTTTCTGTCATCCATGATATCAGTCTTATTTCACTGAAAAAACAAAAACAATTGGAAAAAGTTCCACAAGTTCTCACCCTACTTTAACCAAAGCACTGATATCCTCACTCACATCGTCTATCTCAGCTCATTACTATGGATGACATAAGCATTGCTCTCCCACACAAATACACCTCTCTCTGTTTGTGCACTTAGTATCATTCTCTTTGGGATTCTCAAGGGAGTTACTCCAATAGTTCTCTTTTCAATCCTGCATCATTAATTTCTCCCTCTCAACTGGTCATTCTCATTAACATGCAGATAAAATTCTTCTCCATATTTTTTTTTTTTTACCCTTAGCAGTCCTATATTTATTTATTTTTTTTTAAATAATAAATTTTATTTTTATATTCCCCATACAATTGCAGCCCCCCATTCTGACCCCAATCCCTCCCCTCCCACCCCCGCCCCCCAAAAAGTGTCTCTGGTTCATAGATTTTTGTTGATTTTGATTTTCACTTTCTTATAGTTATTCATTTTCCTGGTCCCTTATTTAAGTTTTCTAGATTCCTGCTATGAGTGAGACCATCCGGTATTTTTCTTTTTCTTTTTGGCTTATTTCGCTGAGCATGATCCCTTCCAGCGCCATCCATGTTGCTGCAAATTGCATGTGTTTATCTTTTTTGAATGCTGAGTAATATTCCATGGTGTATATGTACCACATCTTCTTGATCCAGTCATCTATTTTTGGGCATTTGGGCTGTTTCCAAAGCTTAGCTATTGTAAACAGTGCTGCAATAAACATAGGGGTGCAGGTGTTCTTTGGAATTGATGTTTCTGTGTCCTTTGGGTAAATACCTAGGAGTGGAATTGCTGGATCATATGGAAGCTCTATGTTTAGTAGGCCCAGAAATCTCCACACAGCTCTCCATAGTGGTTGGACCAGTTTGCACTCCCACCAACAGTGCAGGAGAGTTCCTTTTTCTCCACAACCTCGCCAACATTTGTTGTTGCTAGTTTTTTTAATATGTGCCATTCTCACTGGTGTAAGATGGTATCTCATGGTAGTTTTGATTTGCATTTACCTGATGACAAGTGATGTTGAACATTTTTTCATATGCCTGTTGGCCATTCGCATTTCCTCTTCAGAGAAGTTTCTTTTTAGCTCTTCTTGAAATGGTAATCAAAAATCTCCCCAAAAACAAAAGCCCAGGACCTGATGGATTTACAAATGAATTCTACCAAACATTCAGAGATGAATTAGTGCCTATCCTTCACAAACTCTTCCAAAAAATTGAGAAGGAAGGGACAATACCAAACACGTTCTATGAAGCCAACATTACACTAATACCAAAACCGAACAAGGACAACACAAAAAAGGAAAACTACAGGCCAATCTCCCTAATGAACACTGATGCAAAAATCCTCAATAAAATTTTAGCTATCAGAATCCAACAATGTATCCATAAGATAATTCACCACGACCAAGTAGGATTCATTCCTGGAACACAAGGATGGTTTAACATCCATATATCTTAAACAAAAAAGCAACCTAATTTTCTTAATGTCCTTTTCCTCTTCAAATTTCTCCCTATTTTGCTAATTTATTTTTATAACAATAATCTTGGTAAGCATCTTCTATACCAGCTATCTCTATTTCCTCTCATTCTATTCTCACACATACACTCCAATCAGTCCTTTCTTCATGAACCACTAAAATTAGCTTGACTAAATTAATAACGACCTGTGCATTGCTATACTCAAGGGTAAAGTCTCAGCTCTCATCTTCCTCGACACACTAGTCACCTCTTTTTTGAAATACAGTCTTTACTTATGATCAGTAAATACTCCTCGATTTCTTTCTACCTCTTGGGCTACTTGTTCTCAGTCTCATTTACTGTATTTTTGTTCTCTGATCTCTTATCAATAGGGTGCCTAAGGTCTCTGGACTTACACTCTTCTCTCTGTATTCTTTTCTCTGATGCTATCTCTTAGCCTTGTAGCTTTAAATGGTCTATATTCTGAAACCCTCAACTCACATCTTCAGATTATCTTATATATAACTGACAACTTGAGAATATTTGAATGTTTGTAGACATCTTAAATTTATTTTTTTATTTCTTAGTCCTTTACATAACTTTATAATTTGGGGACTACAACTTCAAACCTCTATATGCACGTGTTTTAATCATCCTCCACCAAATCTCCAGTACCATTATCCTTTCCATCTTTAACCCCTCCCCCACTCCCATTTCCTCATGTCACAAGTATATTTTTCAAAGAGTCTATAAATTATTCTTGTTGAGCTTTGCAGCTTGTTTTCTTTGG